TGAGACATGCAAGGCAAGGCTGATGGATAGGTATAAGTGGTTATATTTTATCATCATGACAGAATTTTAGCTCCTAATAGTGCTCCTACATTACATAAGACATGTTCATTATCATTGTTTGGATTAAGCAAAAAACAGAAGGCTAAATGTCTTGGCTTTTTTGTTTACGTATGAATATAGTTTTTAGGGAAATTTACACGCATACCACAATTCTTAAGTACTTGCATATCTAACACCTAAAGTTTTATATTTACACTTGTAACTCTTTGGTGTTATAAATTTATGCATGAAAGAGGTATTTCACTTTAAAAAGATAGTGATGGTGGTATTTGTGATTTGAATGTTAAAGATTTGATTGTTATGCATGTAAATATGAATGTTTAGTTGTTAGATATGTAAATGCATAATAAATGTGCGGAATGTATGTAAAAGCCCCTTTTTTTAATCAACATCTTAAAGCATTCAAGTTTCCATAGACTACTTCGGTTTTCCAACTTTTACTGTTGGTTCCTATAAACTATTCTGAAGTGATGCCTTTTGTTTTACAGAAAACGTATCAAAAGGTTTATGATTGGCAGTTTATTTTTTGCCTCGAACTCTGGACGAAAATTATTTGTGCCTATAATTCAGAAGCTGATTTTGGGCCTTTAGCATATCCACTCACTCAAATAATTTCTGGAGTGGCTACTTTGGTCCCATCTGCTCGTTACTTTCCACTTCGTTTGAGATGCATAAAAATGTTAACCGGTATCGCTGCAGCTACTGATACATTCATCCCAGTTAATACACTTCTGCTTGATATGCTTGACATGAAAGAATTGCATACTCCTCCAAAAGGAGGTGTTGGTAAAGCTGTGGATTTGCAAAGTGTTAAACAGGTGTTTTTTTCTCAATTTTTTGTGTGGGAAATTACATAAGTAGTACGCACTTATGTATTTACATGTGTCATGCCTAAACTTTCATATTTACATACATAGCACTTGGTGTTTTACACCTATGCATGAAAATGGGTATTTCACTTTTAAGAAGTGTTTTTATGTGATATTAAAGATTTGAGTGCTATGTGAGTAAATATGAAAATATAGGTGTGAGATATGTAAATAAATTAGAATTGTATGCTATGTATGTAGATTGCTGTTCCCTTTTTTCTTAGTTATTTCATTTTGTGAGTCTCATCTATAATTTTCTTTGCAGTTGGACAAATTGACATTGAAAACTCGAGCTTTTCAGGAGGAGTGTATATATGCCACTGTTGAAGAACTCGCTGAACATTTGGCTCCGTGGAGTTGCTCTGTTGCCTTCTTCGAGCTGTCTTTTATTCCGTTGGTACGGTTGCGAAGCTTTTGCAAATCAACGAAAGTTGATAGGCTTCGAAGAGAAATAAGAGAACTCATACGCCAGGTATTAATTTAATTTATCTATTCCTCAAATGTTAGACCCCATGATATAAATGAACAGTCTATTGCCAGTTTAGGGACAATCTCGATTTGTAGAAGAGGGAGAGTTGGGAGAGAAAAGAATGAAATGTTGTTAATTTTTTTTATAAATGATTTATCCAAATACAAACACTTAAATCCCTTCTTATAGAAATAAGATTAAAAATTCAAATCATAGCAATTTAATTTCAAAACTAGATTAACTTTCGAAATACCATTGTCAAATTTAAAATAAAGATATTCCAAAAATTAAATACATTTCAAATTGAAAACAAATTCTAAAGGCGAACACAAGTATTAGAATGATGTAATCTAGCCTATGCTTGATCTATGTATTCTAAAGGTTAAGCAAGTGTTGATTTTTGAATTTGTGAAACAAACTATATATCTAAAGAAGAATCTGAAGATAATGCCAACCTTACCTATGTTTACACAGCCATAATAGTAACAACAAATTATGTCAATCCCAGTTAGAGGCATAGCTAAAAGAAGTCTCATGCACAATCTTCGGGTGAGACTCACAAAGACATTTGATTATTGAAGATCGATCGCTCATTAAGCTAAACGTAGAACCCATGTCATCTCAATAACAATCCTCATATTAATTTAACATAATAATCAAGTTAATTACTGAAGGTTTATAGGTGCTTGAAGAATCAAGTTAAGTATTGAAGGTATGCTAGTGCTTGAACTTTTGAAATTGACATTGGTTTTCATATATGGATCAATTTTTTTTTTCTCTTGATAGTTTTTTATTAGAACATTCTTATGTTTCTTATTGATACTTTCTCAATCCAAGGTAGATCAGATGATTCAAATTAGTTTCTCATTGAACTTAAAAAGTTATTGGAAAATGCCATTCTTGATCGATCCCTTGTGTTTGACTAGGTTATATGATTATATGTATTATCATGAGATGATCTAGAATCATATGCATACTTCCATGATATTTGATACTTGTAAAATGGATGAAAACTTGTTATACTTTTTCATACATTGATTCAAAATTGAGTGAAAATTTTTATAAATCTTCTAGTTCAACCGTCCAATGTATCTCTCAGGTCTAATCTTTGCATTCTTCATACGACCCAGTAATTTGGTGATTCTTTATTTTTCAATTATTATTATTTGGAATTTGGTGGTGTTGTGGGATTGATAACAGGAAGAGATGAAGGAAAGTGGCTTCAGTTTAGATGTATTTACCTTCGACAAATCTAGCTTTGATATCAAATGATGTATAAGAAGCATAATCGAATTTCCAATTTGATGATGGGAGGGGGGAGAGAGAATCTAAATTACTGGAATAATCTTGACGCCTGTCTTCTCTGCATTCAAATACTCTGTGGATCCTCATAATGTTAAAATTAAATATTTGTTTTCTTTCAGGTGGAAGCCAATTGTGATTTTACAATATCAAAACGTAATGGAATCAGTCTTTCACTTAGTGATCACACACAAGCAACATTTCTTGAGGCATGGTTTCTCCTCTTCCTTCTACCATTCTGCTTCCAATGTTCTTCTGAAGACTGAATATATTTAGTATTGATTTATAGGCAGCATAATCGAATTTCCAATTTGATGATTGGAGGGGAGAGAGAGAATCTAAATTACTGGAATAATCTTGACGCATGTCTTCTCTGCATTCACACACTCTGTGGATCCTCGTAATCTTAAAATTAAATATTTGTTTTCTTTCAGGTGGAAGCCAATTGTGATTTTACAATATCAAAACGTAATGGAACCAGTCTTTCACTTAGTGATTATACACCAACAACATTTCTTGAGGCATGGTTTCTCCTCTCCCTTTTATCATTCTGCTTCCAATGCTCCTCTCCTGAAGACTGAATATATTTAGTATTGATTTATAGGCTGAAAAGAAGTCCAAAAGCAGCCCTCTCTTGCAATTTATTACTAATTTGCACCAAAGAGTTCGGCAGAGAGCTGGTTCCCTCGTTGAATCCAGGTCAGCTAAAAAATATTTCAATAAAGAACTATATTACATTTCTAGCTTGGACAAAAAGAGACTTTATAATAAATGAAATTCCACTTCCTCTCAAATCAGTATCTTAACTTGTTTTCTATTTGTTCTTGCAGCAGTGTGAATGAATTATGCATTTACTTAAATTTTGATTATATTGTGAGCAGTATGCTCTCTGTATAATTTTGACATGCTTCAAATATTCTCCTCCATAACTCTATTATAATTCAGCATCCAACAATATTTGGGGCATTTACATACTTACCACACATTTTTTATTTACTGACATATCAATCTCCTAAACTCTCAGATTCACTCGCAGGCCACTCAAACCTTTAGCAATATATCAAATATACCATAATTACTCTCTTTTTAAAAGTAAAATACACCTTTTCATGCATAAGTTTATGTCACCAAACTGTTACACATGTTGTGTTAGATATTTAAATACATAAAAATAGTGTGGTATGTCTGTAAATTTCCCTAATATTTTTTATAGAGGTACTAGCCTTCTAGTTGAACTGATATAAAATTTTCCTTCTCATTTAGTCTGTGCTGCTGTTGTAGAAAGCTACCAAATATGCATTATAGTTAAATTTTATGTCTCTCATCATAATAGCTTTATTCGATTAATATCATGTTTGATAGCTGTTCATGTTAGCTTCTGCATGCAGCGTTGTAGTGGGAGCAGAATCTTCAGTATTTGGCAGCAAGTTTTCTGAGACAGACCAACAATCGTACGAAGAAGACGAAGAAGAAGGTGCGGAGGCATTCAGCTCATCCTGGATGCCTCATAAGAAATCCAAGTAATTACCACTCCCAATCCAATCAGATCCAGTCATTGAAAACAAAACTTTTTTTTTTTTGATCCATTAATCTTGCAATGCAGGTCTGCTAAGCAGAAACCAAAGCTCTCAAAGAGAGATGATGACGAACTCAAGCATAGCAGAGCCCTGGATGAGGACGTGGTGGAGGATCTCATCTTAAGTTCCGACGACGACGAGGATGAAGAAGACGAGGAGGAGGAGGACAATGATGATGATGAAGTCCACGCTCATAATGAGGGGAAGATTTCCAATGACGGGCATGGGCAAGAATCACATCAGAGCAAAACAAAGAACCTCAGGAAGCGAAAAAGGAGGTTCTTTCAAACTCAGAACAAGAAGAAAAAGATAAACGGCAACAAGTCAAACAGGAAGGGCCCTGTCAGAAGAAGGAACTAAGAAGTCCAAAGTGTTGCTTCTGCAATTTGTGCAGGTCAATTTTGTAAAAATAAAATATTTATATTTGGTTACTCATGATCATTTTCATGCCCGTATTGCTGATATGTTTTTATAAAAATTTGGAAGCATTTGATAAATTTTATAGCAGAAAATTTTGGTAGAGGCATACTGTAAGGCAAAGATTCCTATCTATTTGCTGTCTGAACCTGCAAAGTCCAACACCGTAAAATCACGTTAAAATTATAGAAATATTAATTGCTCCTAAAAGTCAATGGGTCGTCCGTGTTAGACACTGTTTCTGCGGGGGAAGATTTAAAAATACGATTTTTTCCGAAATTCTTGAAATAATTTACATTGAAGTATAAATTAGTTAATTAATATATTGTTAGGGATAAATTAAGTCTTTGGCATATAAATTTCACTTGGATTTGTTTGTGGTTGTAATTTTTTTTTTTAAAAAGATGAATATAAAATTGAAGGAGAAAACAACTTGGAATTTATAATGTTTTTTTTTTTTTTTAATTAGATCAGTTTTTTTTTTGTTTTGCTGTCACCATTAGGGTGTGTGAGTCAAGCCAACTTGTGAAATGACTGGAGCTTAGTTTGATAAGTGGCTCGTGAATTGAGCTCGATTGGCCAACAAGCCAAGCTCAAGCTAGCCCTGATTCGACTCGTTAGCTCGTGAGCCTGCTTGTTTAAATAAATATTAATATAAAATATAGTAAATTTAAAGGCTTTATGTTTAATATTTTAAAAACATTTGGTATTTTATATTATGTGATTTTTTTATTATTTATCTCAAATTAACATATATATTAAAAAAAACAGTGTCATGTCACCTCCCATAGTGTCATGTCACCTCCCAAAAAGCCCTTATAGGTGGTGGGCAGCCCAGGATTTAAATAATGCTTTTCAGCCCTACACCTAACCAATGTGGGACTATTTGTTCGTGACATTATCCTTCACCCAATCACGTGACGCCCTCGTCAAGGATCGGCTCCACCGAGGGTCTCACTGGACCATGGAGAGTCCACACATCTGGCAAGCAGTAATCTGCTTTGAAGTCACTTGTCACCTCCCAAAAGAGCCCTTATGGGTAATGGGCAGCCCAGGACTTAATTACTGTTTTTCAGCCCTACACATAGCTGATGTGAGTATTTGTCCGAGACAGTCAGCTCAAACTCGTAGACTTAAGCTCAGGCTCGACTCGATTCATTTAAACCCCTAGTCACAGTATTTTACGGGATTTATCATTATTTTATATATTTAAATGTTAATATTTATTAAAAAAATAAAAAGAAATGCTACAAAATCCAAGAAAAATCACATTGCCCCTGCCCTGTTTAGACCGTGGGATGGATATCCATCCAGTCAGGTGGTACAGTTCATGTGGTAAATTAAATATGTTGTGGATAATTTCTGTGGTCCATAAAACTCTACCATTGTTGGATTTACCAAACTATATTTATTTCAATTTGATGGCAGAGTTTAGAGATGAGTATTTAGACAATAGATCTTGGATCTTTATTTTTCTCCTTTTTTCTCTTAAAATGTCTGTTCTGAATATTTTTAGCTAAACGACATTATTTTTCTTTTTTATTAGAAGTTTGTCATGTGTTTTACAGGAACACTTTTGATTATTTAAGGGTTTGGACCATAATTGCTTTTAACTATTACCTGTGTAGCCTTTTCGTCGAACGTCTCTCTCTCTCTCTCTCTCTCGCCTCGATTTCTTAGTTCTCGATTTCTTAGTCACGCCTAAGAAATAGAGCACGAAAGAAATGAAATGAACAGAAAACTTGGTGATGAAAAGTAAAATCCCGTAACCTTTTTTTTTTTTTGAAAAGATTCAGACATCGCTAAGGCCCTCAAATGTTTATCAAATGTCGTTAGATTGAGAGAACCTCTCCAAGCCGTTCGATCAGAGTGATTCATTTTCTTTCATTAAATGCACTCGAGACTCTATAAATGAAACCCCACTCCTCTCATGAGAAGGAATGAGAGCTTAAAGTCTAAAGAGAGACAGCTTGAGGCCTGAGGAAGAGCTTGAAGTTTTAAGAAACTAAAGCCTAGCATCACTTCTACTACCGTCAACCATTGCCGACCGCCACTTGTCGCCCGCCATTAATCATCATCGATCGCCGCCCATTTCTTGTGACATGCTCATCTGCTCATCGACATTGTAGCTCGGGATACTTTGCAACTATTTTTCGTCTCTGAGAGAGTTATACTTGTAATTTTAAATTTATAGTAGATCTCTTCAACTGGACCAGACCCCGAGATTTTTCTCAATTCTCCACGTAAAAACTTTTGATGTCACTACTGGATATTTTCTTTCATTTGAGGGTGCATTAGATTCTCGTGCAACACTAAAATAATAATTTATTATTTTATAGTCATGAGCCCTCTAGCACGCATCAGTATGTACGTACATGACCTTTAAAAAATTTAAAGCGAAAGTGTTGCCAATCATGAAAGCTCTTTTGGTAGATGAAATTCTGAAAGCGTAATGTATATTAATCAGTAAATTAAATAACTTTGCAACTTCTTTTATCAATTAAATTTACTATTCCGATAATAATAATAAAAAAAAAATTTAAATATACCGTTGGCTATTGATTCATATTTAAGTTTTAATATATAATTTCTAAAAATTCATGAATAATATCATAATTCGACCTAAAAAAATTCACACCGAGATAGGTAAATCTTAAAAATTACATGCTAATAGGGCTAATTACATAAACACTCCGAGCAATGTTATTTATAAAATTTACACTCATCAATTTATTTTTGAACTAACAAATTGATGCTCATCATATCGAAAAAAATATTACATCAGGACTCCTAACTTTGAGCTACGTTCGGAGTCCAATGAAATGATATCACGTGGAGGTGACAAAAAAAATAAAAAAAATTATTTTCGCATAGGTGAATATTCTCTTCGTGTTATTCCACATTATTCATGTGTTATTGTGATGTTATTCATGTGTTATTGCGTTCTAAGAATATTCTCGGTGTTATAATGATATAATAATACATAAATATCACCGTAATAACACCTGAATAATGCTGGATAACACAAGAGAAATATTTCACTGTAAATTCAGAACGTAGTCCTAATGTAATATTTTTCCTATCATATCAACTTGGGCAGATGTCACATAAAATGAGGAATATGGCGTCATTTTTAATGCTTTGATAGAAAAAGCAAAAAATACACGAATCCGAGATATGCGAAGTAAAAAAGCCTGAGATGACTAAAATGGTTACTTTCTTAAATGTTGGATTGTAACTGGAGTTTTCTGAAAATTTGAATTTAATAAAAAAAAGAATCAATCATCACCGTCCAATCAATCTAATCAACTTAATGCCGATCCCGAAGAAACCGAGACCTGTTATCGTATATCTTCGGATTCCCCTTCAAATATATCGTTGTCATTTGGACGAATCCTATAAAAATGTGGGTTGTAATAACTGATAAAATTCTGAATTTGTAGTCGCCACGTAGCATTTTTGGAGACTTGGGACTCACCGAATTCAGTTTATTGCACACGTGGCGAAAGTAGAGAGCGTAGAAATAATAATTATACTCCCGAGGTTTTGCCAATTGGTTTGTCAATGAGGAAAGCCTGTGTGGCCCACATCCCAGCTAGGCATTAAAGCGCGCCAATCCATCTGTCGCGCACTACCGAGCCCCATTCTGTTCACCCGCGGTTCAATGGCCAATGGCGCGCTTTCTTCATATATTAATAATTTTTTGAAAAAATATATATATATATATTTAAAGATAAAGACTGAGATCTAAATCTTATTATTTAAATTAAAATATTTATTTTATTATAATTTAATATATATTTATCGCATTTTTTAATTAATAATTTTAATTGATTATAAATTCTTGTAGCAGTTTGTGTTTGATACGTTTATATATCGAGTGCAAAAAAATTATTCATATTCGACTCATCTCCTTAATGAAAGAATCAAACAGGAACTCTTAACAAGTCATTTTGACAGCCATAAACACACACACACAGACAACTAAATCACACATACTTCAATTTATATATATGTCACCATACATATGTCTGAGAAAGGTATTAAAAACATATAAAAAAGCAAAATTTAGGTGTTAGATATGTAAATATAGGAATATAAATATATATATATAAATATATATACATATATATTAATTAAAACAATTTATTCGCGTGCGGCGACGCGACAAAAAGGGTATCCCCCCCGGGCAA